CCCCTCCACCCCAAGCTTTCAGAATATTACATAATAAATTTCTCCTTTCTGCCTACTATGCTTTGAGCTAAGTTTCCATCACTTGCAATAACGGTGTCCTGAACTAATACCCACAGAAGGAGAAATAAAATCTGCCCTTCTCTTAGAAATCTCTTTTCAACCCTTACTTTCAAGTTCCTCCACTACTTCCTCTCAAATAACACAATTAAAAGAACCAAAAGAAAAACTACAATGGTTGGAACTTTTATGTCCCTATTCCAGCTGACCCTCCAGGCTGGAGAAGATGAAGATGATGTAGCTGGTACCTGAAGAGGGCAGAGAGAGAACAAAAGGCCCAGGCAACCTCTAATGAATAATAAATAATCCACACCTGACAATCAGCAGCCAACTACACTCCATCCTGCTGGAAAAGCATTCCTCCAGGGGCACCTAGGTGGCTCAGTCGTTAGGCGTCTGCCTTCGGCTCAGGTCATGATCCCAGGGTCCTGGGATCGAGCCCCACATCAGGCTCCCTGCTTGGCGGGGAGCCTACTTCTCCCTCTCCCACTCCCCCTGCTTGTGTTCCCTCTCTCGCCGTGTCTCTCTGTCGAATAAATAAATAAAATCTTAAAAAAAAAACACAAACACACACAGGAAAACCCCACTCCCAATCTTTGGGAGTGGGGGGAAACACAAACTGGGAAAAAAAAAAAAAAAAAAACATTCCTCCAGCCTTAACTTGTGCCAAGTGTCCATGTCTAAGTTCCTAGTGCCTCCCGAAGCCCTCGCTCAGCCCAGCCATTATGGCCACGCCAGATTACCTCTGCACCCCCATCCTCCGCAGCCTGTGCCGACCCCTGCTCTGCTCTGGCTGCTTTCATTTCCACAACCTGAACCAGAACGTCCTCCTCTCCTTTGCCTGCGCACATGTTCACATGGCCTCTTCGACACCAGCTCCAGTCCCAGTCCCTCCTCCGAAGCCTTCCTCCAGCAGCCACTGCTGTGTCCACTCTCTTGCCTCTGGTGAAGCCAAGCGGGCAGCTCGCGAGGAGCCTGAGCAGGAGGCACGGTGGGGGACGAGAAGGAAACTTTCATCTCTGAGCACACAGGGGCAACCACCCAGTTCTGCCACTTCTGTCTCATAAGAGAGGCCTAGGGTGACATGATTTGGGGAGACTCTCACATTTAGGTGGTAATTAGAGCCACGAGAGGTGGATGAGAATACTTGGGGAAAGAATATGGTATACAGAGTTTTAAAAGGTGGAAAAAGCCTGCTTGGATCCATATCACTCAACTGATCTATCTCATTATGTCACTCTCCTGAGTGTCCCATTCCCCCAACTAGGTGGCAAGCTGCGGGCTGGAATTACATCCTCCCCACCTCTGTCTCCATCTGCATCGCAACCCCACCTGGACCGAGCACAGGACCAGGCACTTTAGTCCTCCCCCATTACATACCGTCCCCACCCACGACCCCAGCGGCTGAGGCAGGCAGCCTTGCACCCTTAGCTCCATCTCACAGATGAGGACACAGAGGCTCCCAGCCAGGAAGGGGCCCTCACTCCAAGGGCAGGCAGTCAAGGATCTTCAAGTGAGAAAACCCAGATGTTAGTAACTGAATCAAAGAGAAAAGACAAGGGACTGAGTGGGTTTTGAATGACCAAATAAGATCCTGGTTCACCTGCAGAAAAGACATCAGACACCTGAGCCACTCAAAGGAGAACAAGAATTCTCCCCTCTTACTACCACCAGCGGGGGCAGATTCATGTATTGGGACACGGAAAGGCTACATAATTCCAGAGTTTCCCAATGCAGGAAATGGCCTGAAATTGAACTGAGGGGGCCTAATCAGGTAATAGGAAAAAATATCCCAACATGGAATCAGGAGCACTGGGCTTAGCCTCAACTCAGGCCCCTTTCTGCCCTGCAACTTCTGGCCTGTCTTCACGCCATACATATATGAGCGTGGAACCCAGCGCAATGCAGACAAGACACCCTCATCTGGGGTTGCTACAAAATCAAGTGAGATATCAAAGTATGCAGTAAGATTCAAAATGCTGAGCAGCAACGTACCATCAATCCTGGAAAAGGAATGTCTCTGCCCCCAAAATAAAATACACTGTATGTTCCTTAGTCATCTTCATACCCCAGGCCTGAGCACGGTGGGTTATAAATGTCTGGGTCTGAGCATGAGCAGCGCAGATGGGTTTGGTTTGCGACCTGCCCAGTACCACCCAGGCCAGTTTCCCCCTCAGCTCCAGGCCCACGTGGGGGGGCTGCCAGCCCACATTTGCCTACAGCACAGCAAGATCCCAGTGCACCAGTGCCAGCCAGGAGATGGGCATCCTGGACCAGGGGCCCACAAGGGGTGTGGAAACCACCAGGAAAGCCCCTAATGGGTGATGGCAGAGCCGCGGACCCGCATGCCCCGGGAAAGGTGCCTCCAACCCTGCAACCAGAGTAGCTCTTTATGCACTGAGCTTTTTGCCCTATAAGAAGGGCTCACTGGCGAAAAGAGGGGAAAAAAAAAAAGCTGGAAAACCACTGCACAATAACTCATCCTTTGGGAAGCCTGGGTAGCTCAGTCAGTTAAGTATCTGCCTTCAGCTCAGGTCATGATCCCAGGGTCCTGGGATTGAGTCCTGCATCGGGCTCCTTGCTCAGCAGGGAGCCTGCTTCTCCCTCTGCCTGCCACTCCCCCTGCTTGTGCTCTCTGTCTCTCTCTCTCTCCCCCCCTCTGACAAATAAATAAAATCTTTAAAAAAAAAAAAAAATACTCGTCCTTTACAAAGGTCCCAACATTGCTGTTTACTTGCTCACCACGTTACCCCTCCCCAGAAGCTCTATCTTGCCATACCAAATGCTATCCTAATTTTTCTCTAAAGGGGTAACTAAAATGAATGTTACTTCCCCCTGACAACTATTTTACTGAGGATTTCATGACCCTCTGCAAAGCCACAGAATTCTGCCTTGTGGTAAAACTAGGGTCTTAAATCACTGCCCTCAGGGGGGAAAAATCCAAACCCTGCTCCGTCCCTTCCTCAGAGGTCAAGACCAGCTCCTACAACCTCAGCCCAAGTGAGGCCCCACCTTCTCTGCCAGGCACGGAGAAGGGGGGACCTAATTAATGGAAATCCATCCATCTACTCCAGAGATTAAAGCTAGAACTGATTCAAACACATCCCAAGGAGGATGTGGGTCTGCACTCTAACTTCTTCACTTCCTTGATCAATTTTTCTCCTTCAAAAATAGAAAGATAAAAGCAATTGAGAAAAAAAAAGTTACCCCAATGAGATTTCCCTGTGTCTTTATCCTCATGGGCACATCTGACGCCTTCTTAGCATCCCCCAAAGCACCAGCCCAGGAGAGGACTGTGTTTGCCCAGCGACTCAATTATGGCCATAACTGGGAGACCTAACGCAGGTTTGAGGGACGTAAATGCTAGTCAGAAATCCCAAAGTGGAGACAGAGGGCCACCAATGAAATGATGTGCTGTGTGGACAGCAGTTTATTCTTTGCGTCTCAGTTTCCTCCACTACAAAAAGTGAGGCTGAGACCAATATACACTGCAGCTCTTACCAGGGACAGCTTATAAAATCACCCCCTCAATAAGTGAGGCTTTTAACAGCCAGATAATTGGGTCTCATCAGCCTTGGGCCCACAGTTACTCAGGGCTCTTTGTCAGCCCTCTCAGTTCACTCTTAAAACAAGGACAAGATATAGAAAAGGGGGCATTTGCCACTCCCTGGCTCAGAACATGTTAAAACAATAGGTCATAACTGAAAACTCCTGGTGCCCAATACTTTGAGCCTCTGAACCCCTCCAAACTGGAGTTTTCTCTCTGGCAAAGTAATAATAAGTAGACAGCTTACACAGTAGCAACAATAAATGTAATAAAGCAGAGTGCCTGCCACAACAGTAAAAGCCTAATAAATGCAGGCTTCCTGGGCGCCTGGGTGGCTCAGTTGGTTAAGTGACTGCCTTCAGCTCAGGTCATGATCCCAGGGTCCTGGGATCGAGTCCCACATTGGGCTCCCGGCTCAGTGGGGAGCCTGCTTCTCCCTCTGACCCTCTCCCCTCTCATGCTGTTTCTCTCCTGCTCACTCTCTAATAAATAAATAATCTTTAAAAAAAAAAAAAAAAAAAAAAATTGCAGGCTTCCTCAGTGCTATGCCTTCTTCCTCCAGCTTCCTTGTCTAAAAGGCTGGCTGGCTTTCCACACTCCCCAACCAGGCTAGGCCAAGCCTACTACTTGTCACAAACTCCCAGTAGTACCCCCACCCCCAACACACACACAGGAATACTCACAAACCCATCACCCAAGGGCACCAGCCACCAGCCTTCCCTTCTCAGGCAGCTCAGCACCGCCGGGGAGGGATCTGAGCCCCAACAGCCACTACCAGGATTTTCCCATGGTGCAATGCAACTTCCCCAACTTTTCCAGGCCCACAGTTTCCAAAGAAACCTAACAGGCATTGTGCATAATCAAGCGCAAGTCTGGGTGAGCAAACAGACTGAACTCTGGGCAGAGGGAGCAGAGTCAGAAAGTGAAAAAGCACCAATGGTCATGAAACGGGGTGGCAGGGGCCAAAATTCAGGAGGACCAGTCCTGGCCCAGGCTCCATTCTCCTAGACTGTATCACTGATTAAAGCCTAGCAGGGACTCCCAAATGACCGGTAGATGATGAAGAGTCTTAGGAAAGGGGCTGCGGGACATCCCTCCGAGGTCGGCTGGACCTGGTGGTTTCAGGAGCACCCCGATGCCGTAGCAACCGGAGAGTCAGGGCCTGCAGTGCCGGGCATTGTTCACAGCGACGGGCGGGACAGGGGGAGGAGGTGCGAAGTAGGGGACCACGCAAGTCCCCCCCCCACCCCACTCCCCAGACGGCCCAAGGGAGGGAAGCCCCGACCCACGGCCAGAGCCAGGTGAATGAGTGGCCCTCGAGAGTTCCCCCCTGGGAGCTGCATAGAGAGATGGTGGAAGGCCGTCCCAGAGGCCGGGCCAGGGGTCTGCCACTCACCGGCGCCCTCCGAGGGCTGCGGCGGCCCGACGACGCCGTTCAGGTAGAGAATGGGCAGCAGGTGAGGCTGCGTCTTCTCCAGCGCCGCCCGCAGGTCCTGGAAGTGGTCCCGCTCCTTGGCCAGCAGCAGCTTGAGCAGCAGCTCCGCCTTGGCGCCTCCCGCCTCCTCGTCCAGCTGCCGCCGCTCGCCGGGGCTCAGCGCTCCCGCGGCCTCGAGCAGCCCGAGCACGGCCTCCACCTCGGTCATGGCCTGGGCCAGGCTCTGCTGACACTGGGCGAGCAGCTCCCGGCGCTGGGGCTCCATGGT